GACTACAGGCACCTGCCACAAGGCCTGGCTATTTTTTTAGAGACAAGGTCTCGCTCTGGCTCTGGGTCAGGCTGGTCTTGAACTCATGAGCTCAGGCAATCCATCCACCTGGGATGGATTGCTAGGATTCCAGGTGTGAGCCACCACCTTTTAATGATATTTCTTAACAATCCATGAGCATGAGATGTCTTTCCATCTGTTTACATCCTCTTCATTTTCTTTCATTAGTGTTCTGCAGTTTTCCTTGTAGAAGTCTTTCACTTCCCTGGTTAAATTTATTCCACAGGTTTTATTTTATTTTTATTTATTTATTTGTTTATTGTAGCTATCATAATTTATTATTTTCCTCATCTGTTTCATTGTTGGTGTATAGAAATACTACAGATTTTTGTTATTTCTTTTTGTATCCTGCAACTTCATTAGATTTATTTATCAGGTCTAGGAGTTTTCTGGTGGAGTCTTTAGTTTTTTTCTAGATACATCATCTGCAAAGAGACAATTTTACTTCCTCTTTTCTAATTTATTTCACTTGCCTGATTGCTGGCTTGGACTTCCAACGCTATGTTGAATAACAGTGGTGAAAGAATAGTCTTGTTCTAATTCTTAGAGGAAAGACTTTCAGCTTTTCCTCATTTAATATGATGTTGGTTGTGGGCTTGTACTATATGAACTTTAATCTGTTGGGATGTGTTCCTTCTGTCTGAGTTTTTATCATACAGAGATGTTGCATTTTGTCAAATGCTTTTTCTATGCCTGTTGAACTAATCATTTTTGGTTTTGATTCTATAGATGTGATGTATCATACTTATTGATTTATGTATATTGAGTCATCCTCGCATCCCTTGGATAAATCCTGCTTGATTATGGTCTATTGTAATATGCTGTTGGATTCAGTTTGCCGGTGTTTTATTGAGTATTTTTATATCTATTTTGATCAGGGATATTGGCTTGTATTTTTTTGTTGTTTTTGTGTCCTTGTCTGGTTTTGGAATCAGGGTAGTACTGGCCTTATACAATAAGTTAAGAAGAATTCACCCCCTTGGGTTTTTTTCTTTTTTTTTGGAGTAGTTTGAGGAGAATTAATATTAATTCTTCTTTCAAGGATTTGGTAGAATTCAGCAGTGAGGCCATCCGGTCCTGGGCTTTTCTTTGTTGGGAGACATTTTATTACAAATTTAATCTCATCTTATGTCCCCTTTTAACAAATAGTTGAGTGGTCAGCAAACTTTTTCTAAAAAGAGACAGATGGTAAATTTTAGGCTTTGCAGGCCACAATGGTCTCTGTCATTTTTTTCTTCTTTTTGTTTTTGCTTCTTTGCTTTTTTAAATAGCTATTTAAAAAATGCAAAAACTATTGTTAGCTATGAATAATACAGAAAAAGGCTTTGGGCAGGATTTGGCCCATGGGCTAACATGTGCCTTGCCTAATTTAATACATATTAGGTTCTGGCAATAGTGAGTGAAATATGCCTGACCCTTACTGTTCTAAAGTTTGCAGTCTAATTAAAATAATGTTGTTTGCATTAATAGAAATATTTAGAAGAAATCTAGGGATTTTGAAGTTCTGAAGAGCAAGCATAGGACCTATATTTTCATGTCTCTATTTGATCCTCATAACTTTGGAAGATGATAACAGATATGGCAAGTGAGAGCTGAGTGTATCAGAAGAGCATTTGGCTTCCTGGACTTCACTGTTTAATACCGTACTAGTGAGCTTCTGGTGGAGTAATTTTCATTACTCTTTTTGGCTAGAGGCTTATTAAGCTTATCAGTAGAGAAGGTGAAATGAGCCCAGATAAAATTATAAAAATAAGTAAGTTAGAAGGAAAACATACAGTAGAAAGAAAGCATTTGAAAACAAAATGGTTTGGGAACAGTACCTTACATAGAAATATTCTATTTTTACCTACCAAGGCAGTATAGATAGAGAAGAAAGCTTAATTATTGTAATAAGAATATATCTGTTACAAAGAAGTAGTAGGGTAGTATTTATGAAAGAACTCTGGCTATTGGAAGGTATACTTTATTAAAAAAAATAAAACAGCCAATAGGGAAAGCTAGAAGGGGCAAGTGGAATGAGTAAGTGTGTATGTGTGTGGAATATCCACACCACGATGTTGGGGGGAGATGTGGTAAAGAACTTCATTCTAGACTCGGCGCCTGTGGCTCAAGCGGCTAAGGCGCTAGCCACATACACCTAAGGTGGCGGGTTCGAATCCCCAGCCCGGCCAGCCAAACAACAATGAGGCTGCAACCAAAAAACGGCCGGGCGCTGTGGCGGGCGCCTGTAGTCCCAGCTACTTGGGAGGCTGAGGCAGGAGACTCGCTTGAGCCCAGGAGTTGGAGGTTGCTGTGAGCTGTGATGCCATAGCACTCTACCCAGGGGGACAGCTTGAGGCTCCATCTCAAAAAAAAAAAAAAAAAAAACTTCATTCTAGAAGAAGAAAGGAGCAAATGTGATGTTCTGATGGAGAAATACTAAAGAATCTCAGATGACAGGGACTAGAGATGATCTCTGACAAGATGATAATACA